CGCTAGAAACCGGGTTTCGATACCCGTGGTGGGCAGTGCACAGATAGCCCATTATTTAGCTTTGTGCATAATTACAAACAAACAAATTTCAAAAGTCTTGTTCTATATTTTTTTTTCAACAGAAATGTCACATGATACATCACATAAACCAATGAAGTAATTTCCTAAAGGTTTTCTAGGTAGACTTACATCTCAATAAGTAATCGTGTGTAGATATTGACAGTATCTTAGTTTTTTAAAAAGTTAAACGTTAAAAAGTATATTTTTGATTTTAACGAATGTAACCTATATTTTTAAGACAATTTACCGGCAATGATTACTGTTGTGCGTTCGAAAAGCTACTTTAGTCTATTTCTCAGATCTACATTGTTTATCAGTCTTGAGTTTCCTGCAATTACTTCTTCATTGAGAAGGATTCGGTAAAATGGCATATATATCTAAAACTACCTTTAACACTTCCTTTTTTTACTGAATATGTATGAAGAAATGAGTAATATTTTGTAACTAAGCAGCAATCACATGATGATATGTGATATAAACTAAATATGTTTAAATAGTGTGTAAAAATGTACTGTTAGAAAACAATAATAAACGGCAGCAATCACATGATGATGTGTGATATAAGTTAAGTATGTTTAAACAGTGTGTAAAAATGTACTGTTAGAAAACAATAATAAACGGCAGCAATCACATGATGATGTGTGATATAAGTTAAGTATGTTTGAACAATGTGTAAAAATGTACTGTTAGAAAACAATAATAAACGGCAGCAATCACATGATGATGTGTGATATAAATTAAATATGTTTAAACAGTGTGTAAAAATGTACTGTTAGAAAACAATAATAAACGGCAGCAATCACATGATGATGTGTGATATAAATTAAATATGTTTAAACAGTGTGTAAAAGTGTACTGTTAGAAAACAATAATAAACGGCGTTTTTCTTCTTCTTCCCTTTGTAAGAAATGTTGAGAGTGAAACTGGCAGATTATGTTGCTGAATAAATTATGTTAATGTGTGGTAGAAAAATACATAGTTTATTCAATATATACATATATTGAATAAACCGATATGAAATGTGTCTGACATTTCATTGAACTATAGAAGTTCAACATTCTTGGACGAATACATATTTAACACTACGTAGTAGTTGATGTGATCATAATGATTTTAACCAAAGTATAAATAAGATTATGTTAATTGTTTGTTTGAAGCTAAGCACAAAATTACACAATGAGCTATCTGTTGCTCTGCCCACCAAGGGTATCGAAACCCGGTTTCTAGCATTGTATGTCCGCAGACATACCGCTGTGCTACTGGGGAGCAAACCTATAACAAAGTAAATAATGTTTGAATAACATTCCACTTTATTCAACCGAATTTTTGCACCTATCTAAAACATGAATAATGTTTGAATAACATTCCACTTTGTTCAACCGAATGTTTGCGCTTATCTAAAACATGAATAATGTTTGTATAACATTCCACTTTGTTCAACCGAATGTTTGCGCTTATCTTAAACATGAATAATGTTTGTATAACATTCCACTTTGTTCAACCGAATGTTTGCGCTTATCTAAAACATGAATAATGTTTGTATAACATTCCACTTTGTTCAACCGAATGTTTGCGCCTATCTAAAACATGAATAATGTTTGAATAACATTCCACTTTGTTCAACCGAATGTTTGCACCTATCTAAAACATGAATAATGTTTGTATAACATTCCACTTTGTTCAACCGAATGTTTGCGCCTATTTAAAACATGAATAATGTTTGTATAACATTCCACTTTGTTCAACCGAATTTTTGCGCCTATCCAAAACATGAATAACGTTTGAATAACATTCCACTTTATTCAACCGAATGTTTGCGCCTATCTAAAACATGAATAACGTTTGAATAACATTCCACTTTATTCAACCGAATGTTTGCGCCTACCTAAAACATTCTATTTGTAGTGAAATGTTAAACTCAAGGCCCTTCTATCCCGTACCTTTCTTTCCGTACTGAAGCTACTAAGTCGTTAATAACCAGCGTGTTTGTAGACAACAGCCTCCTTTGCATCCGGAAACTATTTTCCTCTGTGTGCGAATGGTAAGTTTGCAGATGCTCACCTGGTTCATAAATTATAAGTACAGTTACCTCCAGCTTGTGCAAACTCAAGTCGTTTGTATGCGAAGACACATGTTGGCTGTTTGTGTGGGTAATAGCCTGCTGCTTTTCCTGCACACACAATCTTACATATGCAGACTTTGGTCTCTTGTCCATGTCAACACTAACACATAGTAACCTTATTGCTTTTACGAACGTTATTTCTGTGTTTGCGAGAAACATTAAATTTCTGTGTTTGGAGAGTAACGTATAGTTTGTGCGTACGTTCTTCCAAGCTTATCTCTTACATAATACGTGTGTATCTGCTTAGGTATTAACTCCCAGCTTCCATTAATTAGCACACAGTTGAGTGAATTGTTCTGTAAATGCTAATAACTGTATCTTAGTTTTATCAGTGAATTAGGATTAAAAAAATTACAGATCTTGCAGTTCCCAATGGACAGTACGCTTGTGTACATGTTATTCAATAATATTAATGGATTTGACAAAAGCATCTAGCAAACGTTCATAGGATGAATCCACTCATTTGATCGTGTATTTTAATGTAACAGGAAGCATACAATAGTTTTCTCGTGGTAGCCGTTTCACCATCGATTGATGAGGAGGTTTACCAGCGCCACTCTACGGAGTTTGTGCGCACTAACGGAACATCATTCGAAGTTAGACATCGCAGAGTTTCATTCAATTGCGAGACTCATACCCAAGAGTACATTCTTCAGTATTTTGTCCAGTGCGCTCACATTCATTCTTCTAATTCTACGAAATGGTCTTTGTAAAATGCACCAAGTTGGTGAGTAGACTTACACTTACCTAAATCACTTTGTTTTAGGACAAGATACTTCAAGGTTAAAATAATACTAAGTATTTTCACCAAATCTCTAATGTGTTTTTTATTTTATGTGCAAGTATATGAATTCCAACGCCCCAGGCATATTGATTTGCACATTAACAAAACCTAGATGGAAAAGAAAAATGTTTGATATCGTTAGTAATTCAAAGTGAACATAAATGAAAAAAATATATATATGAAGAAAAATACGAAAAAAGCTGCTTCATTTTCAGATTATAATTTTTTTTACGTGGCATTATGATATGAAGTGCAGCATAATGCCCAATATACTTAATTATAGTGATGAGTATAATGAGTTAAATTTGTTGTTTTACAGATCCCTAATATAAAATATTTATATCATGATACTGGCAAGATTCAAATGATTTCTAATAACAACATGCAATTTGAAATTACATTTCGGATGTAAATTTGTTTACTTTCTTTTCCCTGTAAATTAATTTATAGATTTCATAGATTTTTTTTTTTTATTATATATATATATTAATTATAGAAAATTAGCCATCCTAGACAACTTTATAAAAGATAGTGTTTGGGAAGGTGGTTTTATAAATGTTGATTGGATTTTGTACATGCTTTTTTTTCATACATAAATCGATCTACAACTTGTTTCCAAAACAAGTTAAAGAAATTTCCGTTCAATTTTTTTCTAAGTCTACTAACAGAATGTTTGTACGGGAATAGTTTTAATGGTATTTACGTAATCTAGATAGTTTTAATGACATTTACGTAATCTAGATAGTTTTAATGACATTTACGTAATCTAGATAGTTTTAATGACATTTACGTAATCTAGATAGTTTTAATGACATTTACGTAATCTAGACCGATTTAATTTATCAGGAATTTTCATATGGTTCAACAAAATTCATAAAAGAGTTCATGGTAAAACAAGCTTCACGCATAATAAAATGGATAAATAATTTACCAAGATTATGACCTGAAACACAATAATACATCTGCAAAATAATAAAGTCACGCAAGGGCTCCGAGCTCATTGCATTATCTTTGTGAAATGCCGTAGAAAATTGTCTGTAAAAAGGGGCTTACACGTTTGGTTAATAGCACAGATGGAGTGTATATTCCGAGAGCAACAACAACAACAACAACAAACTAAAGGTTACGTATGGTTACACTTTCAAACAGGAAGTGTCACTTGGTTATTTACCATAAATAAAAACGTTTTTTCCAACTTTGATTTAAAAAAAAAAGAACGACCATATTTATGCCTGTGAACTATGTTTATGATATAAAAAAAACCTGCGATGTTGAATCGCTAATGCTCCTTCTTCATCATGAGCTGTGTGTTTTAATGATCTTGGACACACGCCATGTAAAATAATACCGAATTATATTACTATTAACCTGCTCATAAGTGCAAGACAGCATTCTCTAAATATGGTACCTAAAGTCGTGATATTCACTTATGTTAAGATACACGTGCTAAAGTCTAAGGAAACTGCAATGGAAGCGTAAAATCATGCTAAGTGTTAATTTCCATCAGATACGTTTTGTAGCCTTTTTAATACATTAATTCCCTTCTTGTAGGCCCTACGTTTGTGATAATAGATTGTTGCTATCCGCCTGTTTTCTCTATTCTCTAACAAGTGAACAGATAAAGAAGAATGACTAGTTTTGAAGAATACACCGGGCTTGACACATATAATTATAGATGGAGAAATGCACAACTATGTGGAAACAACCCTAAAATTACTGACTTATTTCTATGTTCTTTTATAACATCAGTGTAAAGAACAAGCGAAAAAGTACGTAAAATCAGTCACTTTGTGCATAAGTTGAATACGTAACCTCTAGAAATAATTAGTTGATTAATTGCAATATTGATGGATTTTTTTGGGGGGGGGGTGTATTTGTGTTCCAGGTGTTTATTGGGTACAGTAACATTAAAAGTGTAATATCACTGTTGTGCTTCTAAACGGATCTTGCTTTACCAGCTTAATAGTAAAACACCATGACTATTTGACGTGTTAGAAGTAGCAGTATGCTGTAAACCAAGTGGTCAGAGAATTTAATTTTCGTTGCGTGCATGAACGATACCTGAGATAGGTCACTGTATGCTTGTATATAGAAGTACATTATGCTAATATAATAGTAAAATTACAAATAATGATTCATAAGCATCATTAAGTGGTTTTATTTTAGGGGAACGGACTACATGTTTCGACAGAAGAAGAGACAAAACAATTATTAGTTCAATGTATGATTAATAAGTCAAAGACGTTCATGCGGCGTTTAGGGGTAATATTAGTTACCAGATAATGAATGGTTAGGAAGACAAGGTTAATTTCAAAAGATTTAGTCAGTTGACGTAATGCATCTGATCAGTATCTAATTAGATTATTTTAGGGTTGAAATATAAAATACTAAAGTTACGGGTTTTAGTTATTTATGCGATATTTGTATCCAGAAACGGATTACTAGTGTTAAAAAGTAAAATTTGAAGATAAAAATATTTTACTTATCTAGTGTTTATGGATAAGGATTGGAACAAGCTAAAATCTCAAGTTTCAAAGTTTTGGATTTATCACTCCACGTGGTGTTCTTGGAAATAGAACGCTTATTTTATAGATACTGTTTCTTATTAATGCAGGTTTTTACATATTTTCTCTTACAAATGCATGCTTTATAGATATTAAGCCTTTCTAAAGTACGTCTTCTAGATAATTTCATTACATATTCAAGATTCTAAGGATTGTTTTTGTTATTAATGTTACTTTTCAAAATATTGTTTGCATATATTGTAGTTTTCTAAATATTGTTTGCTTATATTGTAGTTTTCTAAATATTGTTTGCATATATTGTAGTTTTCTAAATATTGTTTGCATATATTGTAGTTTTCTAAATATTGTTTGCATATATTGTAGTTTTCTAAATATTGTTTGCATATATTGTAGTTTTCTAAATATTGTTTGCTTATATTGTAGTTTTCTAAATATTGTTTGCATATATTGTGGTTTTCTAAATGTTATTGCTAATATTGTATTTTTCCTAAATATTATTTATTACCAGAAAAATAAACATACAATCTGGAATATCACGTTGAAATACAAGGTTTTATTCATCTAAGAGCTTTTTAACTGTTTAGAGAGCTCTTCGTCATGTGGAATTAAAACACTAAATAGAAAAAAGCGTTTAAAAAAAGAGAAATCAATCGTGAGGAAATTACGAGATCATACATACATTATTGATAAGGCGCGCGTTATTAACATTGTATTAGAATAGTTATCGATGAAGTTTATTTACATGCGATATGTAGACTCGTGAATTTGTTAAGTATAAGGAAATTGGTAATGAATTCAAAAATTACATACAATTAATACATATGCAACTTAAAACGGCATAAAAGGGTTGCCAGTTGGCAAAATAGGTATTGTTAACTACTAGTACAAGTAGCCATTGATAGCTTTCCACGAATATCAGAACAATAAAAATTTTGTAAGTGTAAGCTTTGTAGACATTATTGAAAGAGTTGCGGTTTAAACGCCAAAAGCTGACGAAGCATTACAGATTTATAGGCCTAAAAGTTGTAATAAAAATCACGAAAACTACAGGGTTTTTTTTTCTACGCTACGCTTAATTTCTCCATTTCGGATTCCAAATTAGAGGCATGTCAAAGAGACAAAGACATACCTGAAATAATATTTTTACACGCCTCCAATTTTGAATTCTAAATGGACAAGTTAAAAGTAGTGTAGAAATAACCATCTGTAATTTACGTGTTTTTTTTTACAAATCTTACATCTATTTGTTTGTAATGCTTCGTCAGCTTTCAACGTTTAAACCGCAACTAATGAAGGTTATGTTGATATTTGTTAGAAAGGTAGGGTATATAGATGTCGTGAGTTACTGTTGCAAATTGTTTTTACATATATATATATTTTTATATTTTTTGCACCGAATAAATAACCTGAAAATGGAATTAGGCTGCACTTATACTTATTGATGTTTTTTTTTTCATTTGAAACGATATTTTATTCATGGATTATTTTTATGTGAAGAAACCTAAATCGGTTAAAATGTACACCCAGAATCGTCGAAAGGCAACGAAGGGTGGCTTAATGGAAGCAATTCCTTATAGTATCGTTTTTTTCTGTCACATTTTAAATAAAAAGTGTAAATCAACTTTGCAAGAAATTCAAGAACTAAAGTGTAAATTTAACCTGAATTATGATTGCCATTTCCAAATCGAAGAAATTCTTTGGTGATGACCAGTGTTGTTTTTCAATCACTATTGAATAGATGCAGTTTTATGATGACGTCTGAGTCTGGTGAGGATCCACCATCTGTTTTTGAAGTTGTTTTAAAATCGTCTAATGGCAAGTGCGTATGTCAAATCATGAATAATAAACGCATAATAACATTCAAAACTAATTTATTTGGTAATATTAGGAAATCTTGTGCCAAGATGTGTTTGTTTGGTTTTTGTTTTGTCTTTTATTAATAATTGTAAAGAATCACAATAGGCTAGTTGTGCTCTGTCCACTTAGAGTATTCAAATTCAATTTTTATCGTTATAAAACCACAGGATTACCGCCGAGCCGCGAAGGAGGCATTAACACGAGAATAATATAACTGAGTTTTGAAAATTAATATAAGTATAAACACTTATCTAAACAATCAGAAGCATAAAAGTGTTCGCTAATAATAGTCTACTGTCATTCAGTGTAGCTAGTATAAGAAGAAGTTAAATTTAGCCCCTAACTTCATAAACGAAGTGGTCATTTGATGTAATCAACGATTCTAAGATATAAATCTTTCTATAAGGAATCTGCTATAGAAAAGAAGCAAGTTTTTGTCAAAACTACTTTACATGAAAAAATTCTACTCACTTTAATACTGATGGAGTTTACTGTTCTAGATATCCTTAACATGGATAATATATACGTATGTAGTAATTATATTAAATAAACCAAGTGAAA